TATAAGAATATTTTTAATTATTTATATATTCTTAAAAAAATATGATCAAAATTTAATATAAAATTTTAAAAATAAATTAAAAGAGATGAACTATTGAAAAAAATCACTAAAAATATTTTCATACAATATAGTTATTCTAATATATATATATATATATATATATAATTAAAAATAAGATTAAAAAAAGATAATTAAATGAGTGATTGTAAGCAATTATTTAAAGAATACAAAAAATTCTATTTTTTCTTTCTTAATTAGTAATTAAAGAGTATAATGATTCAATAAAAAGTGAAGGATAAATATCTTGAAGGATTTTTTTTATAAAAAAAAGGTAAATATTTTGATGATAATTACTAATTTGTGCTCAAAATATATTGGTTTACTTTTTTTTCCCCTTTCAAACCTGTACTAAATTCCAATGGTTTCTCTTGTACAGCTTGCATGGACTTGTTACAATTTCTACCAGTCAACACCAACTAAATTGGCAGGAGAGAACTATTACTTTCGCAATGGAGAGGTTTGAATATTAAGTTCTCATATTATTCTTCAAATCCCCATGATGTTGTATGCTAAGGTTAAAAAAATTGTAGGATATGAGTGTTGGTACCTCGTGGAATATCCAAAGGCCTGAAACAATCGAGTCTCTATTCTACCTTTGGCGTTTCACTGGAAACAAAACATACCGAGAATGGGGTTGGAATATTTTCCAAGCATTTGAAAATAATTCTCGGATTGAGACAGGATATGTTGGACTCAAAGATGTAAGAAATTCTTAAACTGCTTTAGTGCTTTCTCTTGCATGATTTGCTCTTACCTTGGAAAAGACTTAATGCATTGATTTGTTAAGTATTATCATTTTGTTGTGAACTTGTTTGACATACATATATATGATAGTGTTGACAAAATGTCACATATGCAACAATCTTCATGAAAGAAAACCCCTGCAAAAACTGGTGATATGAAATGATCATAAGTTAAGTATGTTCTATGAAATGATTGTACAATAAAACATTTGTTTGTTTTATACATTGTGCACTATTGAACACATGATGCAGGTGAATACTGGTGACAAAGATAATATGATGCAAAGCTACTTCCTTGCTGAAACACTAAAGTACCTTTATCTCTTATTTTCACCATCATCAATTCTCTCTCTCGATGAATGGGTGTTCAACACAGAGGCCCACCCTATAAGAATTGTGACTAGAATTGATCGTCAAGAGAGTGTAAACCAAGAAGAGGTATTTCCACGTCATTTGTATGGTAGAAAAGAAGGTCGAATTGAATACAAGTAATTAAGAGTTTTTGCTTTGAGACTATCGTAAACAGATTCTTGAAGCTTAATTCCTCACTCTCGAGATAGATCCAAGACTTGGACCTGCTGTTATGGACATGATCATTTGTCAATGTCTTTGCATGAGAATGATCCGTCATTTTGATTAATCATTGCACAAGGGACTGCTTCTCTATCACAATCCAATTTTAAGTTATACAGTAAAACGGTGAAAATGCTTGGAAGCTTTGTTTATTGGTGTAGTTATTAGGATGAATGTGGGTGTAAATGCCTAGATAGAAATAGAGGCTAGTCTACTTATTTTTCTGATCACTTTTTGCATAGTTGTAAATTCTTGTGTATTGTTGCAACTATGAAATGTAAGTTATTCAATTCAATTTCAGAATTTTAGATTTTGTGGCTCTTCTAATTTATAATTTCATTATATTAATGTTTTAGAGATTTGAGGTAATTGAGTAGTGTTGTCTATGAAAATGTTAATTCATTCTAGTTGTTACGGAAGAGCAAGATTTGAGGTAATTGAGTAGTGTTGTCTATGAAAATGTTAATTCATTCTAGTTGTTACGGAAGAGCATAGAATTGACATTCAATCTGAAAATGAAAAAAAAAAAAAATCAAATGAAAGTAGAGGATTATATATTTTAATTAAATTGTCCAAAATTCAATTTTGATCTTAAAGAATAAATTATATAAGGTTAAAATTCCGACCTTAAATATATGTTCGAAGGAGTAAAAAAAAAAAAGAGATAAAACACATTAAATCAATATAGCAATCACCCCATGCATGCCAAAGGATTTAAATTAACGACCAGATTCATGAAAGGAGAAAAATTCCCACAGGCATGTGGTCGATCGATTAGAAACTCCGTCGGTGATTCAATGAAAAGCAATGAGCAAAAGAAAAACTATTCTATCCTTTAATTTGTCACTATTTGCTCGTGAAAATCTTGTCTAGTTATATACCTGTCTTTCTCCTTTCTGTCTTCTCTTTCTCTCAATCAGTCTCGTTGTCTCTGTTTGCTCTCTTTCTCCTTTATCTCCATCCTCTTTTTGCTTCTCCTCTCAATTGTTCTATTTCAGAATCACTACGAAAAATTAAAACTTCTCAGCACCGTTATTATACTATTAAGACACATGATGTTGATAAGTTCTATATAGGAGACAAATAAATATGGGCCAAGGCCAACTAGAAAGACCAGAGAAGCCACCAATTATTAGAAATAATTCCACATTTCTTTTTCCCTACTTCTATCACATTTTAGCTGTACCTTTATACACTCAGCCTGGTTTTTAGGTTCTTTCTATGCACTCCTTACCTCGTGATAACAAATTTCAGAAGAAAAAATATATATTATTTCATTTATTTTCACCCTTTTCTAAGGATGTGTTTAGATTTTTTATCATGCAAACTTGATAACAAGCAAATAATTTACAATATTCATGTACCCTATTCAACTAATTAAAGTGTGTTTAAAAATATATCTCAACTTAACAAATAAATCACGTCAAAATAGAAGAATGACGTAAAAGTTACATATTATTGTTTCACTTTAGATGTAGAAAACCACATCATCACTGATACACACGATCAAACATGCACCCAGATCCCATTGATTAAAAGTGTGTTTAGATAATCAATTATAAACTTGATTATTAGGAATGAGTTTAGGTTGAATTAATTAAAAACTTTTTATATATCTAAAAAAAGTTAGGTATTATATAAATATATGTATATATATACACAGACATGAACTATGGTACCCGCACAAAAAACGTGTGGATAAAATGGGTAAAGTTGATGTAAAAAAACATTCACCAATCATCAAAGTTGAGGTAAACCAGAAAATATTTTTTATTTTTTTTCCGTTTTGAATTTGATTACAAAAATCTCATCCGTGGACCTTGAGTTAAGATCCAACTTTAGGAAGCTGATGATAGACTCGTGCCCAAGTGGCCCCAAGATCAAATAGTGTGAGTGGTAAATGAGAGGGGGAAACATAAAAGGTAAATATAATGTTACATATTTGCTGATGCTGATGCTCAAGGCACGCTTAATTGTGAGTGACTAGATGAATAGAATATGCATGGAAGAAGAGGAAATGAGTTAGTGAGAGGTCTATTCATTAACCAACAGCAATGCATTATTTCTGAAGAAACAAGTGGTGTTTTTGAAAGGTCTATTTTGAGGCCAACATGCATAGTTTGTTTGTTCTGAGTAGTCCCTGACCTATTTTGTTACCTTATATAGATATAGATGGCATAGGTAGGCTTTGTTTTGTTTTGTTGTCTTGTGTTTCTTTCTCATATAATATATGCTATTGAAGTGCTACCCGATTCCTGCCAATTTGTCTATCAATCAATGTTATGGGCAACTGAGCCCAGAGCAAGCTTTTATGTACATCAATTATCAATATGAGGACATGCATATTCTTATGTGTCACCATCTTTGTGCTACAATTTTTTTTGTCTAACTGTCAGACCAAAAGGTTGCAAAAGGGATACCCTAAACAGAATAAAACCAGTAGTCTGCTGTTGCTTCGTTTTCAAAATGTATTGTTTTGTTGCTCAATAATTTTCCTACTCACTGGAACAGCCAACAATTTTGGAATTTAATATTTCATACCATATTTTATTTTAATTTTAATACAAACATAAGTTCTGAGTTGGGTCCAGTGGTGGATTGTGATTGTGACTGTCTCCCCTTCAAAAATAAAAGGAAAGGTGAAATTAAAAAAATACAAACTTAGTTGCAAATGCATCCCCAGTAAGCTTGTCAAGGAATATAACATTAATTAATAACTCATGAAATTGAGAATCAAGAAATACTAACTGAAAAGGCAAAATAAGCTGGAGATGCAGGGGATCGAACCCTGTACCTCTCGCATGCAAAGCGAGCGCTCTACCATTTGAGCTACATCCCCATGTCAAAGTTGCTAAAGTTGTGTGTATATATATCCAAAAAGCTAACAAAATATTTCGCCTTCTTTTCAACAAATGATGGAAGTATTTATAATATGCAGGCGCTGAAAAGAAAATCATGTAAACATTTGCTGAAAATAAATATTTTAAAATATCATAATTTTATTTAACTATTTACTTATTTAAGTAATGTTTTTATTCCATGTAAATAAAATTATCATTTTTTAAAAAATTTTGAAATAAATTAATACTTTATATTAATAAATAAAATAATTTAAATAAACTAATACATGTAATATTATTTAATGAGAAAATAAATAATACACCGATAATGTAAAATAATGGTACGTGTTATTTAATCACAAATTACCACTTATAAACTTATATTTGACGGTATAACATGGATTTAGGAACTAAATTTTTATAATAAATAAATAAAATGTCATTCCATAATAATATTTAATTAATTGATTTTTATAAAATTATATTACTTTTTTATTCATATCGTGGTAATATTTAATTAGGTGAGAGTATAAAATTACATTACACTGTTAAACTTTTAATTAATTAGAAAGCAGATTAAACACTCGAATTGAGACTTTGGTATTGATAAAAAATAAAATAAAATTGAGACATCAACGAAGACTAAAGAGAAGTGAAAAGAATTAAGAAGAAAATGAATTGGTTGCGTTGGAAATTGAATCATTAATAAGTTTAGGTAAGCTGTAAACATACTCATACCGACTTAACCATGAGCTACTTTTTTTTTCAAATTTTATTCTATGAAAATAGTTTTCTTATTTTCTTTAACAGCTTTTTATGAAATGTGTTTGATCATATAAGCTGAAAAAAGAAAAAAAAAAAGGAGCTTATACATACCCTTAGTTGATATGTATCATATTAGTTGAGATAATATTACGAATATTTCTACCTCTAATGTCATCTTTCTAATAATTTTTTTATGTTATTTTTTAAAAATATATAATTTAATTCTAACATATGTCACAAATTCTTAATTTGGTCTTTATACATAAAAATTTATTAAACCAACTCTTATATTTATATTCAACTCTTATATTTATATTTGTTAAACATTATTGGCATAGTCTTTAGTGTTGTAATTCTGTTACATTTTATTAATTAATTCTTATACTTGTAACACATAATCTTAATTTGATCCTACACATATAATGTATTTTAAGTTAGGATTGTACTTATAGATGATCAAATTAAGTCTATATTAATTGTGTTGGAACCAAATTAATAATGTGTTACATATATATATATATGGATCAAATAAAAAATATATAAGGGAGTTAATAGTTTGAGAGACCAAATTAATAGTATTTACATGTATAGGGACTAATTAATAAATTTTTAGATATAAAAACTGCATTGAAAAATGTGTAAAGATGATTATATATTTAGCCTTTTTTCTATATAATATACATAGTATATATGGACCATTAGGGTTAGCTTAGTGATTGAGTGGGGAGGAGTTGGGGTAGTTAGAAGCATGAGAATTTAGGTTCAATCTTCATTGCGATCATCTTTGTAATCTTTCCTATCTTTACAAAAAAGAATACATAGTATATGTTTTCTAAGACATTAAATACATTTAAATTTTAATTTTTTAATATATATATATATATATAATATTTTAAAATTATACAATTATTTGCTTATTTAAGTTAACGCATATTGTAATTTTTGTTAATGTAGCAAATAATATATATTTATTATTACTAAATAAATAAAAATTATATATTA